CCACTAACTTGCTATGGTGGGCCCTAGTGTACTAACGGCCCCCCATGCAATAATAAATATTTAAAAACTAAACACATGATTTTTAAAATTTATATATTTTATTTGAATATTTAAAGCAATAAAAATTCAATATCTCTGATTTTATAATCTCAATTACATAAATAAAATACCCAGATATTAAAAAATATTCAAAGAATAATTTTAGAAATCAAATAACATCAAAACAATTATAATTAAATATTTTTTATGGGAATTGGATCCATATAGTATAGGAATAATAAAATGCTAAGGTACTCCACCTTTTACTGTGGACCATGATCCACTCTTGCTTTCTCAAACTGATACAATGTTTCCCATGACTAATAGTTTATCGTAGGAGCTTATGATTGGGCCACTGAAGTCAGCCAATGGGCAATGAGATCGTAATCCCAGTCTATGGATTTCAAGTTCTCCCCTAGAGATATACCAATGTCACCTATACTTGATACAACCATAGCTCTATGGTACAGAGAGGTAATCTCTCGCACGTGCACATGCTTCTCCCTGAAAGGTGATGCACTTTCCTGATACGGTTATCATATGTTCATACGTGTGATAATACATGGATGAGGGTTTGACCCCTGTCTCTGAGGGCTACCATCACACACAAGGGTCACACAGTCCTTCGACTCACTCATTCGGATATATTCCGACCTCATCAAGGGATGACCCATTATAACCCTTATCACTTTAATTTATATACTCAGCTAACGTGAGTTATTTTCACCCAACTAGCCTAGCACATCAAGCTTAGTCCCATATCAGTAAACATCATTTACATAGTATGATCCACACATGATCACACTCCCACTAAATTCAAGTGTCATTATATCAAATGTTTAATTACAAACACTCATCATAATGACTTAAATGGCACACACACCCAATACTCATTCTTTGGAATTATTTTGGCACACACACACACCTCACAGGTACATATTTCTTTGGAATTATTTCATTTCTCTCGTAGTATAATGAAACCATACTTCTAGAAAACTATGTTTGTGGTTTTTGTATTATCTAAAATTTTACACACATTCTCTTCATCTCACTAATCAATCTAAATAAAAATTAATTAATTTGGACCCTGTATATAGTAATGTGTCCCCTCCAACAATGAATCTAGATCGTCTATTGATGAATTTCAAGATCTAGGCCTTTATGAATTCAAAATCTTTTTTTTTTTTTTATATTGTCAATGATAATAAAGTTATCTGAAAAATTTGGAAAGAAAAAATATCATTCTAAGGTCTAGATCTAAGCTTCTCACCAAAATGAGTGGCCTATGTTAATTAGGATAAAAAAATACTTTATAAGTTGCATTTCTAATTTTTTTCCTCTTTTGTGATTGTTCATTAAAATTAAAGAATGTATATTCTAAAATTTGGATCAACCAAATGGCCTTAACATGGTTTTTGATTGTTGCATTATATTATCATACAACCGTTGCATAAAATC